GAGGGATTTATGAGATCTCTATGTTCACTGTTATTTAAACACAAATACTTTTTAAAAGTAAGCCCAGAACTAAAGCACTGGATCGCAACAATGAAAATACTTGTTGCCTGCAAGTAGTGGTAATGTGGATGATTTTTCACTATTTTTCTGAAGAACAATTTTAATGTTTTACATAGCTTGGCAATAAATAAAGAAAAATCGTCTTGTAATTGTGGCATCTTTGCTTTGATGTGACATTCTTGGTTATAGATATGATTTATCTGATCACAAATAAATTTTATATCAAATAAATTTGATTAGGAATACAATTTCCAAATATTATGTGCCCCTAAAGACAGTTTGACCTGTTTATCCACAATCTGTATAATGATGGTTTTCCCTTTTTTCAAAAGCAGAGCTTTCTTAACCACTCTTGCTTTATTTTTCATGGTAAAACATTGAGAAGCAAGTGATGTGCGAGAGCCTTACCCACTCTTCCTCATCGTAGTCTGAATGATGCGGTATGGAGTCCTGCCTTCTCATCGGTGAGGGTTGGTCTGGGGGACTGCTCTCCTCTGTGCCGCTCTTAGGAGAGGGTGGCTTCTTAAGGATGCCTCCTGGCCTTGCAGTGTAGAGTGCTAAAAGAGCACTCCTGACCAGCTGATCCTTGAAGGCATGTACAAAAAGCTCTGTCTGGAAAGAAATTGATAAGGATTAGAAACACCACGGTAGGCCTCTCAGTATAGAGCTATGAAAAGGTCAGTTGCAGATTTGGTGGTATTTAAGTGGTGTGTATGGAGGAAAAAGTACAGACACCAAAGAGAGAAAATGATTCATACCAATCAATGGAAAATAGTTTGGTTTTGGGACACTGCCAAGGCCTTCAGTCCTCCCGTTTTAAAGTTAATGCTGAGGTTTTAAATGTACTATAAACACCATCTGTCTCCCCAACCTCATTTCTTTTAGCTTCGAATGCTGTCTTTGGAGATGAATTTCACTGGGGATTATCATTTGAACATCTATATACCTGCTGCACCTTTCAAGTAATTCCAAACACACTTCAAAAGAAAATGTGATCAGACTATATATATTTTATATTTTAAACAGAGTCAAAGGCTAAAGAAAGAAAGATACATCTTTTCAAAAAATAGTCAGGAGACTTTATTTTTTTAGCATTATGGATAGGATCTCAATAGTAGAGATGACATAGGGAGTCTTCCTCTTGAAGACATTTGGCTTTCATTCCTTATTATCACCCCCTAAATGGTCTCTTCCACCCAATTGTTTAACGAGCTTACTGTGAAACTTGGCATGGTAGATTTTACAAGCTGGTAGCAAATACCTAGTAAGTGCTATAGTAATGAAGGCTTCCAAACAATAAAGAACTTCACAACTGTACTTTGCAATTTCCTAATGAAATGTTTAATAGCTTCACCCCATAGTAGTCTGAGGGTGCAGTATCTGATTTTCTGTATTATAATACACTTAACACGCACGTGGCCTAACAATCTGTTCAGAATAGAGAAATAAGTCAAGCAACGACCCATGTTGTTCCTATATTCATGCTCTGTAATTTGTTAGGAAGGGACCCTTAAACTCATAGCCTTATACTGAATAATAATTGATATAACCACCATTTAATGAGACACCCTTGGATATAATGCTGACTTCACCAATGCTGCAACTCAAGGTAATTATGTCTTGGTGCATTTCCACACCTAACTAGTGGTTACTAAATTATCTCTAAATCTTCCTGTTGTGAGCATCAGCAATTGAGGAAAACCAGTTAAACCACATGTAAAACATTGCTAATAAGACTCTGCCACATCTGCACAGTTACATCTTTGCAACAGAGCATAATTTTCTAGAGCTGATAGGGTTCTTAAAGTTGACCTCTTCATTAATCAGATAAGAAAACTAGAAAGAAATGTGGTGATCTATTTTAGGGCATATAGCTTATTGGCGGCACTAATGGATCAGATCCAAAGTTTTCTTAACAAAGTCACTAGCTTTTTTCCTTTTTCCATACTACTCACCACCCACCATCAACTAATGTTTCTGTCCTTTGTCCTCGTCTTCCCTAACTCCAACCATCCATGTGTTTTGAACAACTACCAGTTCATAATAAAATGTGCTCACATTTGCCCATGTACATCTTTATAACTCAATTTTATTGGATATTTTAAACATTCTAGTGATTTATAAGTCATACTGATGCCACTTTGAAGGTGAGAAAACAAGACATATGAAAAGCAGAATATATAAGAATAAAAGATTGGAAAATATTTTGGATAAATTAGGAAAACAAAATAAAAAGGCAGCTTACACTAGGAATGCACAGAAAGAAGTGTTCACTGATGTTCACAATGAAATGTTAAAATGAGAATGGAAAATATAAAAAAATGCTGATGGAAAAATTGGCTAGACGGTACTCAAACAAGTCAGTGTAGTCATAGCAAAATGAGGAAACATGTTATTTACATAATTTTTCATATAGCATGAATGTGCCCATCACTGTGAATTTCAATATTAAAAATGTGAATCTACTTTCATTCAGCTTAACTAAACTATTTCTCTGTTGATGGTTTCAATAAATTCTTTTGATTTATTTTTAGAGCAAAACAGCTTGCCTTCTTTGAATTCCTGCTACTACAGCTCCAGTCCTCACAATACTCACATAATTACTATGTAGCTAAATATCTATTCATACCCAATGAAATCTTCTCCAGTACTTGTAATCACCATCATTTTCTTCCCACAGCATGCACATACAGAGATTCCACTTCATTTATTCAAATATCATTTGAGTTCATTTACCACCAAAGGCAAAGGAGATGATGCAGTAGATTCTTGCAGTTTTATAACCCAGAATTTCTTTGGATAATAGAAAACAAGGCACAAAATTTTAAATAAAATATTAACTGAAATTTCACTTTGTGTCTGTACTGACAAAATTTGACTCCTTGGGAACTCCTTGTATCACAGTA